AAAGAAAGAAAAAAGAAAAGAAAAAGAAATGCAGATTTAAGAGCAAGGAAACAGCAACTCTCTATGGAAACAAAAGGACATTTTGAATAGCCAGTCCATCAGTAATCTCTCTGGAGGAAACAGTTTGTTCCAGTCTCAAACTCTGATGTCAACAAAACTGCCCGAGATTGGAAGGCAGAGAGATGAATCTTTCCTGGTTTCTCTCCCAGAGATCTCTCTTGAAAGAAGAGCCTGCAGAGTAGCTCACAACACTGCTGCCAGCACAAGGGAGAGGTACTCAGAGTATGAAGAGAGAGACAACTTTAAAAAAAAAAATCACCCTAAGAAGGGCCGGCCAGGTAGCTCAGCAGACTAAAGCATCTGTTTAGGCAGGCACAGGGACGGGTGGGGGGGTGGCGTGGGGGGGTGGGGTTTTAATCCGCAGCGTGCTGTGTCAGCACTGCTCTCGGGGCACGCTGAGACAGTAACTGAGACTGGATGTGGTGACGCACCCCTGTAATCCCAGTGCTTGGGAGGCTGAAAACAGGAGGATCACTGTGAGTCTGAGCTGTGTAGTGAGACCCTGTAGACCCTGTACTATTTATATTTTTTAGAAAAAAGCACCCTAAGAGTTCATGACCCAGTGTTACAGTTTGTATCTGGATGCGCCCCTTCAAAAGAGCCTTATGTAGTCATGGGGGTGGGCTTTTTTAGTTTTTTTTTTTTTTTGTATTTTAGGGAAGGGTCTACAGGATATTCAGGGTCTCACTACTAGATTGGACTTGTAGTGATCCACCTGTTTACAGCCTCCCAAGAGCTGGGATTACAGGCACGAGCCACCATGCCCAGTCTCAGTTGCCATCTCAGCGTGCCCCGGGGGCGGGACCAGCATGGCAAGCCCAAGGATCAAACTCCTGGCCCTGTACCTGCTTGCAGGCACTTTAATCCACTGAGCTATTTGGCCGGCAGGGTGGGCTTTTTGGAGGTGGCTGAATCCAGAGTTTGTGATTGATTCGTGGCCCAGTACTGTGATTAAGAGTGTGAGGGCTCCGCCCACCCTAGACTGGTAGCTTGCATCATACAGTAAAAGGGACTGAAGAGGACCACCCCACGTTGTTGCTTTTGCTGTCTTCTGCAGCCATGCCCCTCTGTCATATGCCATCCTGAGCCAGCTGATTAGGGATTAAAGCCTCTACAAACTGTGAGCTAGATAAACTTTTCCTCCCTTGACTTTGGGTATTTTGTCTCACCCATGAGGAAAGTAGCTAAGATAGCCAGCAATCCCTGCCTTACATAGCCTTCAGATGGGAGCGTGTGCATGTAGTTACCAAGACATGCTAGAGTGTTTTGCAGCACGGTTGGTCCTAGCCGGGAATGAGACACCATCCAAGTGCTTATCAACTGGATTAGGCAGCATTCCCATTGCCGAGACCCAACACCTGACATCCACAACTTAGAGGAGGAAGGATTTGATTTAGTTCATGGTTTCAGAAGATTCAGTCCATGGTAAGCTGGCACCATCATGACGGAAGGGTGTGGCGGAGCAAAGCTGCATCATTCACGGTGGCGAGAAGCAGGGCAGGGAAGCAGTGCCAGAGAGGACAGGGCGAGGGACCAGACATGAGGCCAAGGTCACGCCTCATGACCCTCACTGGTGCGCCCAGGAGTGCTGCCTAATTGACCAGGCTTTTCTTAATCCTGTGAAACTGACAAGTTAGGATGAACGGTTGCACTGACACTAGAATGGACAAACCAGAATGTTACACAGCAGTGGGAAAAATAAATCATGATTATACACAATATCCAGGGTCCAGGGAGATGGCTCCGTGGCACAAGTGCCTGCCTGGCAGGTCACAGTCACCCATGATGTTAGGAAATTAGGGTAGTGCTTATCCTTGTGATGGGAGGTGAGGAGACTGAGGGATTTCGGGGAGA